CGACGACGCCCGCCTGCAGTGCCAATTCCCTGGTTTGGGAAGCCTATAAAGCAGCATTGAACTGCAAAAGCCAACATGCAGCACCACTGCCTTGCACAACTATCGATCGCCGCTGCCTCGCGCAGTATGCTGCCGCTCTGGAAGATAGAAACGCGCCGACGACTGCCGTCTGCTTTCTTTGTGCCTGCCGTTACATCTACATTCCGTACGCACATTCCGAAGTCAACTTCTATCAAGCATTGAAGCCGGACGAGCAGGGAGTAGTCATGTTCTGTGGCCTCGCAGCAACAGACACCGAATCGCTGCTGGGACGAGCAGCTTACGAAGCCAACTACGTGCGGAGCGGAGCAGAGGAACCGATGTCTGCACGCGAACAAGACATGCTGCATGAATTACAGGATTGGAGCTGCAAATTAGAATTTCACAACGGACCCATCGATGTAATTTGCTGCCCGGGGGACAAGTACTGCAGGCACCACTGTCCCGAAGAACACGCTTGTTCAGATTGTTGGATTCCGGTATGCACGTATTGCCACAGTGCCACAAAAACGCAACGCTTGCCGGCGAAAGCCCTTGCCAATGATCTCGTCGTTTATTACGCACCGCGGGAGCTGTATTGCGAGAATGTCACAATGCTAGAACTGATATGTGCCAGTCCTTGCATGACCAGCATGATCTGCTTCTGCTTGGACAAGAAAAACCGTTCCTTCAGAACACTGGACGAGCGTACGCACATGCAACGCTTTCGCCAAGGAGCTCGAGGCTGCGCGACAACGTTTCTTCTCGATTGGGAATGGCTACTCGGCGAGTTTAAAAGCCTGGNNGCCAATCCGCTGCCGAGATCAGGCAGCGACCTCAGCAAGTACGTGTCAGTGATACTGAAAAGTCGGGATAAAGATGTTCATGCCGATGACGTCAAACACCTCATCCATCAAGCCCGTGTACGTCGCCGAGTCGTCGTTCTGCTAATAGAACATGCCGTCCGCAGAAACCATCCTGCTTACAAGCACGTAGACCTCGACGCAATGATGAGGCGCGCAAACAGCGTACTGCCGGAAGACGACGTGCCACCAGAAGTTGTTGCCTTGCTCGAGAGCGACGAAGCCACGGAACTCATCTACAAGCAAAAAAACGCTGCTCCTATAGCCGAGCCGGACACAGTAGAGGAAGCCATCACGGAAATGGGCTTGCAACGACCGAACGGAGTGGTTTTAGAAAAAAACGGAAGCGACGTCCTGGATGGCGAAGCACAGCAGCATGCGGCTTTACGAGCACTAGCGGACGAGTCCAAGCTAGACACGCTAGCAGAAGAAGACTACTGTGATGTAGAAAGCGAGCGAGAGGATGGGCCCTTGCCAGAAAAACAAGTTCTGTCTTCCACATCACCTATGGACCAGTTCGCGCCGTGGTACTTCGGCGTGGCTTTCGCGTTCCTGTTTAAGTACTGCACAGCTATGCCCGACCCACCTGACTACGGCCAATACAAAGACCAGCGCTGGCGAAGAACAGCGGCCGCGCCGCGAGTAACCTTGAAAGACTGGACCCGATTGATGGCACAACGGATCGAAAGCCAACTCAACAGGGACTGGACGTTCGGCTACACAGCATGGAACGTAATGTT